TTATACTTGTTATAAAAATAAAAGCAATATTGATTTTCTTCCCACATAACCGAGAAATAGCCTGATTTTTTTTTGGGGGGGGGGAGGAAGGAGAAGGTTGTGGGGATAGTCATTCAGTTATTAATGTGCATAGAGACCACTGGAAATTAAAATCTATACAGCAGAACTTTTTTTTTTCCTTTTATCTCCTCACACAGATCTGTTTCTCTCATCATATATAACTTAATAAACATGATTTAGACTCAGAAGCCCTGGGTTTAAAGCCTGGGTCAGCTACATACTAAGTACCCCAATGCAAGCTTGGGTGAGTGACTGCTCATCATCCAGAAAATGTGGGGCTGGACTAGATTGTCTCTGATGGCTCTTCCAGCCCCAAAGTTATGGCATGCACATGGGTTTTAAAAGCTTGTTCAACAAACAAAATGAAGAGAGTCTGGCCAAGGTAACTTCTAAAACCCTTTCCCACCTCTCAAAACATCCCAAATGCCAACTTCCCAACAGGGAGAAGCCTTGGTGCCAAGTTTCCATTGACTATTGTTAAAGCAGCTCCCAATTTACTGATCCTTTACACCGTCATTGCTAACAGCCCAAAGAGCACAAAGACACTTGGCTTTCTTTTCTTTTTTGACCTTTATTTTGATTTGCACTCTGCCTCTAAGGCAAAGTGTGCAGTCATCAGCATCCCCGAGGAGGAGCTCCCTCTCAGAGAGCTGTCTCCACCACCAAGAAATGTAGTGACTTGTCCAGGACCACACAGTCACTGCGTGTCACAGGCAGGATTTACACCCAGGTCTTCCTGCCTTCCTTCCTTCCAGCTCTCTTAACAACTACACACACACACACACACACACACACACACACACACACACACACAAACACTCTCTCTCTCTATGGGGTCACTAGTATACAGCCGGGTACGTCTATTCAAGCCCCAAGCCAGGATTTGAAGAGCAATGCTGCTGGTCCAAGCCAGCTTTTAAGTCATACATGTGGCGGGAAGGGGGAGGGGGAAAGTAACGTTTTCACCGTAACTTTGTGGACAGATTTTTCTCCTCCCCTTCAGTAACACATATATACACATATATCATGCACATAGATAGCTAGCGGTACATATACACAAACATATACACATACACATATATGTCTCCCCACTGGAGAATAAGCTGCTTGCAAGTAGGGATGGTTTCCTTTTTACAATTTCTATCCCCAGCACCTGGTACAATAAGCATTTAAGAAATGTCTGTTGATTGACCTGTTGATTGTAAAAGACCAAATGCTAGTAAGTGTAACTGAAAGAGCTGCCCGTAGACCAACTGGCACAATGAGATCATAACAAGCCCAAGACTGCCACTGTCTCCAGGTAAAACACACAGAAATCAGGACAAGAGCAGGAAGCAGCCCAGCGTGGCCGAGGAAAGGCTGAATTCGAAGGTCAGATCATCTCTCTGGGTCTGAATCCCCGCTCTGCTTCTCCTGAGCGGATGATCTGGGCAAGTCTTTCAGGCTCTCTAGGCCTCATTTTCTCCCTCCGTGAAGTGAGGAGCCAGGACTAGACGATCCCTTCCAGCCCTAAATCTATGATCCAAGGAAGACGTAACGTTCTTAATAATCATTCAAAACATCTAGGTGACACTGGCTAAGCCTTCCAGCAGTGGTTCTCAAACACTCTCTTTAAAACAATCAGAGACCCCAAAGAGCTTCTGTTTAAGTGGGTTTTATCTATTAATATTAACCAGAGTAGTAATTAAAATGTCTTGGGGCATTACGATGAAAAAAGACCTTTTGGGCCCTCTGAAAGTGTCGGGACCCCCAGATCACACCTTGAGAACTGCTGCCCAAGAGGGAAAGAGCCAAAAAGCCTCACCACTGAAAAGTCCAGTATTAGAAAGAAATCCATTCCCAAGTTGGGAGAAGCCACATTTTTTTCTTAAAGTTTCTCTGATAGCTAACACTGAAAGTCTTCTTCAATCTACGCTGCTGGATCATGGGCTGGGAGACTGAAGTCTTTGGGTCCTCTTTCCACTCCACCAGGCTGGAAGCCAAGGATTTCACATCCCAAGACAGATACATATTGTAACCTACTTAATTACACATGTATGTGTGGCTTTGTGAATCCAATTTCTTTCGTTACAGGCATCTCTCCAAGAAGTAGATATTCTGCTTCATAGGAAGCCTTTACAAATTACATTCCTACTGAGGCATTCCACCTTCGTTAACGTTTTCTGTGCTCCAAGGCCTCCTCAGGAAACAGAGGTGCCCCTGGGTTCTCCAAGATGGCACCAGCCAGCACCACAGCAACTCTGGTAGGTGCTCATGGGCACAGGCATGGCAGGAGAGGTCAGGTTTGCTACATGCAGTCTCTTCATCCCAGTGCGGATCAGCAAGGGATGAGTTTTTTGGCCAGAGAAATTAATGAAACCATCTCCTAAGGCAAGGAAGGGTGGTAAACAGTATTACTGGAGAAGTCTCCAAACTAATGAAACCACAGGCCTCGGCATTAAAATAAACCTGAAGCAAACAGCCAGGTATATCCTGATATTATTGCTAGACTGGCTTTATGACAGATTTAGCAGTGCTTTTGCTCCAAAGAGGTTCAACCTTTAAATTTATGATTAGTCACCATAAGAATATCTTGGATATTTATTCTTTTTTATTTTTTAATTTTTTTTGGTGAGGCAATCAGGGTTAAGTGACTTGCCCAGGGTCACACAGCTAGTAAGTGTCAAGTGTCTGAGGCCGCATTTGAACTCAGGTCCTTCTGATTCCAAGGCCAGAGCTCTATCCACTGCGCCACCTAACTGCCCCTATTTCATTTCTAACTTATAAAAACGCATAAGAAAACTCGAGCTCAGTTTCTAAAGTCCAAGCACCAGAAATCTTTGTTTTTAAAGAAGGTAACTAAAATGACTTTCTTACAACTCCTGTTACGTGTAAATGGCAATCTTCAAAATGCAGGAGGAAGATGGTGTACAGCAAAGACATTCCCAAGAAAATTTTTCAGTTTAAGTGAATCATCTTTTCATTTACTAGAAATTCAGAACATGCTGAGTTTCAGTTTAATTTACTCTTAAAGACAAGAACTGCTGAAAGTATAACTCCTTTTGTTTCTTTTTCCACACTGCTTCCTAATATACAAACATAAACATTTATCTATGCAGTGAAAAACCAAAGAGTAAATTGTATTCTATGCTAGCTTATTGCTAATTGAGTACTAATGAGTTATAAAGACTGTAGTGCAGTTAGCAGCACCGCAAAAGAGGGTCAATGAATACCAAAGATCAGTCACTAACTTAAAGATTCTTAAGTACATTATAGCTTCAAAATGTTACTGGATATCCATTAACCATGCATATTCACCATCTTTGCACACAGAGGCAATATAGCAAGAGCTGATTGAAGTTCCATTGTGTCTATGAGTCTCCCCTTTTGGTTAAAGAGCTCATAACCAGATATAATGAGGGTGCAACTCCAATCTGCTCATTGTTACAATTCAAAGCAAATACAGTATAATCTCTTTAAATGTATTTTTAAATAGCAATAGAAAGTGGGAGCAAGAATGCGCTTATTTATAAAAAAATTAGACTACAAAGGCACATTAACCATATTATGAAGATATTAAGACCACATTCCTTCAACAATTATCACAAATATAATTAAGTCCTAATTGCTCATACATTCTCTACCACAAAATGTCTCCTTTGACTACAATTAATCTGTAAATGACATTAAGGATAGAAATGAAAATCACTGCTTTTAATTTCTGATTTTCTAGCTATGTATTCAAGACCGATTCCATCCCAAAGTAAAATGCTGTAAACACTGAATGCTTAATAGTTCATCTGTGTCATGAGTCATCTTCTGAAATTATTTAAATAGTGCAAATAAGCTGCACACATACACACACAAAAGACACATACAGAAACCTATAAAGACGATGTTAGAATACTTCTCTTCAACATCATTTTAAAAAAATTTGAACCAAGGCTGAAAAACGACTTATATTTATGCTCAGAAATACCTGTCAAGATTGTTTTTAACTTCAAAGACCATTTTGAATAACTTCAAAGACCATTTTGAAGTTGTATTCTAAGTCATAATGAATTTTATATTCCCCTAGTTCACAAATAACTATTCTGCAAGATTGATTACTTTTAGCAGTGGTAATGCTTTAAATACACCGAGCATCTGGTTTGGAAACATTTACAAATCCAAAACTATACTATTTGTCAAAGCACATGGAAAAAATATTGCATTGATCATAGAGCGTCCAATTTACAAAGACCTATGAAGAACTTTCACTTACAGTAATTTTCAATCTTTCCACATGTTAACATAATTCCTTCTCAAACCTTAAAAAAAAACTGCAGTATCTACCACCAAATCTCACCAATGTTCTAACCGCTATGAAAATGGCTTAGTTTTTGATGTATTTTGAAAACAAAATATTAAAGACATGACTGTTAAAGCATTAAAAAAGTCCTAAATAGTGTAAGTAGACAAGACTTCTTTCTCATCCTGTATATTCACAATAACACACAGCACTTTGATTGTCTAAGCCACAGCACAGGGACTAGTTAGGATATATGACTTCTCATGCTAAAACAAATCAGTTAAACAACTTTGGTAACCTAGTAGAGTTAAGCTTTGTGTAAATATTTTGCAACTATCTCTTCCCACCCAAAACACCATATACTTTATATGTGTGTTCATCCATACACAGGGGGTTCTAAATGACACTAAGACTTTGGGGATGCCACACATATACATACATACACACCTAGGTACATACACACATACCCCACACACACCCCTGTGTGTATATGTGTATATATATATACACAGCAACATTATATAGAAGCATATAACAATCTATTTCCTGAGTAAATCATTAAATCTGATTAGGAAAGTTTAACCAAAAAAAGGGAGGGGGGAGGGGAACAAACCACTATATCACATTATTAAAATAAAATATTAAATAAACATTAAATAAATATGGAATGTTTAAGAAATTATAGTACCAAAAGCTAATATATATGGCCATACTTTTGATTAAGTGCATACTAAGTTAAACAGTTACTTTAAAATCCATCATAAGGAATTAGTGAATGTGATTTCAAATCCTGAGTGTACTTTAATTCACCTATTAATGCTAACTTTAACAAGCTACTTAAATTATAAAAACCTTTCAGTCCCTCTGTTTCCTTGGGGACCAGTAAAAAAGGAATTCAGCCATGATCACTATCCCAGCTGAAAATCCTGAATTGACCACATGATCACGTGAAACATTTTCTCAAATTAAGTCACTATAGCTTAAATAATTAATCAATTTGGAAAAATGAGACTTTTCAATTTCCTGCTCTAGTACAGCAAAAATACCTTTAAAAACTCAAATTACTTTGGCACCCAAATCATTTTAAGAACCTTTTAAAAACCTCAATGTACCCTTTGCAGACACTGTGGGGAAAATTTGCTTTTTAGATACTTTGCCATCATCTGTCAGTTACAAAAGTTAGTTATCCTTTTCCCAGTTCACGGTTAAAGGTATATAAGTTAATTTTGGATTCGAGAGAACCAAAGAAATATTCAGCTATTTCCATCTTCCAAAGTGATTCAATATTTCACAGAGAACACATTGCAATATTATAAGAAATATCACATCACTCTTTAGAAATACGCATTCTGAAATCATAGTAACCAAACTGCATCCATCAGTTATTTTTAAATTCTTTTTGAAAACCTGGAAACGCTTATAATTGGAAAAAAGTGATTTTGCCCCCAAGATTTTTAAGCAATGATTCGAGAATCTACTTTGGGTTCTCTGCTTCCCTTTTCTATTTCATGACTTTCACGTTCCACAATTATTTTTTCCTGGGTACCAGCATTTTGGGGACACAGTTCTCGTAATACCCTTTCAATCTCTTCCTGTTTCACAGGCAGGCCGAAGCAAGTTTTGGGCAAAGTCATCTGCAATGCACACCATAAAGCAGTCCGTGTCTTCCGTGTTGCAAAGGTAAGCTCTTTAATGACTAATGCCAGAGCCAGGACATCTATGACAAAAAAGAAGATGTTGCCAATCAGAACCATAAGCCCAGAGATGAGCCATATAGTTGCTCAAAGCAAGAATACAAATCAGTACTTTATCACATTTCTGCCATGTTGTAAATCCTAGGTGGAAAACAGGATAGATATCATAAAGAACAGATACAGAGAGAGTGTGTGTGTGTGTGTGTGTGTGTGTGTGTGTGTGTGTGTGTGTCTCTCTCTCTCTCACACACAATTTTTAGTTTCTGCCCTCACAGAACTGCAAAGCTAATTAAAGAGACAAAATTAACACAGGGAAATTAAAGACTAGGTAGAGGCTAAAGTCTGTAGAACTAAGCACAATATAAGTTTGGAGAAGGGAAAGATGAACTTAAGACAGGATACTTGAAAAAAGCTTGGTGGAAGAAATTATTTAAGCTGGGCCTTCAAGCAGGGATGGATTTATGTAAGAAGTGGGAAAGAAAAGACGATTCCAGGTAGGGAATCAACCTGCACAAAGACATATAAGAAAGAAGATGGTGCACACAGAAAAGAGTGAGGGCATGTGTTGGGAAGAAGTGGAGAATATCACTGAAGAGGTGGATGAGATTATGAAGGATCTTAAAAACAGGCACTAGAGTTTGAGAACTAATAAATCAGACAAAGGGGGTCCCCACTGTAGGTCCTTGGGCAGGGGAGATGACATAATGAAAGCAGTTACTTTAGATACGCTCAATGTGACAACCACACATGCAGGACATGCTGCCCATCTGCCTGGGCAGAGGAAGTCTTCCCTTGGAAGCTGCCTGCTGTTGTTTAACTGTGTCCGACGTCATGACCCAGTGGGCCACAGCATTCCAATACGTCCATGGGGTTTTCTTGGCATAAATATTGGACTGGTTTGCCATTTCCTTCTCCAGTGGATTAAGGCAAACAGAGGTTAAGTGACTTGCCCAAGGTCATACAGCTAGTAAATGTCTGAGGCCAGATTTGAATTCAGGTCTTCCTGACTCCAGGCCCAGCACTCTACCCACTGAACCACCTAGCTGCCTCCCACAATAACAACTGAGGGAATCTTCCCCTGAAAGTTCCTCACACCAATAAAATCCCAAGTCCTGTAAAAAAACAAAAAGCTACTGCAACAAGATAGTAACAGACACACCTTGTTTGTTTTAGACCCACGTCTTAAGTATTTTTCTCTAGGATCCCCCCCAATTTTGCATCTACTTTTCAATAATGAGCCACTTGATTAGAAAATAAAACCTGGATATAGGATTGTCAAAAAACAATTATGTAGAAGCAATCCAACTGGCTTCCTATTAGCTTCATTCACTCAAAGGTGCCCCAGGTAACTCTCTAAGACTCTAAAATGCAGATATGCACTGGGAGAGCAAGTTCATCTCACAAGCTCCCGAAACTGGCAAAATCCCAAGCCCAGCTCACTCCCCCAAGAGATTAAAAACATGTACTTAAACTTGCCTTTCTCATTATTATAATGAATTCCTTGGTGTGGGGGATTAGCAGCATTAACAAGTTCATCTTTACGCTTGGCTTGAGTAGCATGAATGGCTTCTAAGTGGCGTTCCAGAGTGATGGATATATTTTCATGGACAGGGCTACCACGAAGCTTTTCCATCTTTCTTAGTAAGGTCAAAACCTTAAAAGAAATATGTATACATTTAGTTAGTTGTAAGCCACACATATTTTAAACTCAACATACCTAACAACTGCTCTAAAACATACTTGATCAATATGAATATATATACTCACTCTGGCTTGTTCCTTTAACTGATCCATAATTAAGCGATCCACTCGGGAAGGATTGGCAGGAAGTCTGGAAACAGGAGTGTTATTTGAAGTGGAGACCCTCTTTCCTGGAAAGTTTCTTGCAAGATCTGCCTCAGTCTAAGAATATAACATATATGAAGTGTGAGATTTGGAGAGGAAAAAAATCATATACATGTAAGATACAGAGACACAGAGAGCTACGTATATGTCGATACACACACACACATACATATACACACATTCATAACCATACATTTTATCTCATATAACTAGATATAGATAATAAGATTTGTCTAGTATCAATCATAATACATAACTGTCACACACTCTCACACACACTCTCTTAGCAAAACACACACACACACACAACACACACACACACACACACACACAATCTTAGCAAAATATAGCTTGATCCTGGGAAATTCTATTTGGCGTCCTCCATTTGACTTTTTCTTATTTCCACATCAGCTATGTAGCTAGGTAGCAGAAGCATGATGTGAAATGCTCCAATTTGTGCATAACCAGACTGAACTCACATCTACCACTGTGAGACCCACTATTACCTTCTTCCGTTCTTTTTCTAGAGCTCGCCATTGTTCATAGCACTCTTCCAGTTGGGTATGAAGTTCATTAGCAGGTCCACTCCGATTTCTTGGTGGCCGGTATTTGTTAAAAGGTGGTGGAAAGGCAAAGTATGGTGGTGTTACTTCCCTACAAAACAAATCACTAACGAAGGGATTCAAATTGGTAAGGCCACCATAATGGAAAACGTCAACAAGCTCTGACAAAGGAAATGTTGATGGTGGGAAAGTAAAGTTAGTTGTTGGCATAAAGGGAGAAGGGTTAAATGGGGTAAAATTAGGGTTTTGTTTAAGCTCCGACACAAAAGGGACGGCAGGAAGGATTGAAGGATTGATGAAATCTGACATATTAACACTATTCTTTTCTTGTTTCTTTCGGAAAATGTTAAACTGCTGACGGTTCTGACCTATGTAACTAGGCTGGGGAATCAAGTTCTTCCTATCTTTTCTATCATCTAGACTCTGTTTTTTGCGGACTCTATATCTATCAGAGTATTCACTAGCAGCATTCTGCTGCAACAGGCAGTTGGATGACAAATGGGCAGGAATTTTGCAATAATGATGACCCCTGGAAGTCAATGGATCATGGGGGAAACATCCCATTTGTATATTTGGCTTCTGATTTTCAGTATTAGAATTTGGAAACCTCAGACCACTATGGACACCATTTGGCATTTGTAACCTCCCTTCCTTCCTGAAGGGTACTGGTGGTGTCTGTGGGTAGTATGAAGGAGAAATCAAAGACTGGTGCATGGGAGAGCCAGAAGACAAGACTGAAACTCCAGACGAAGGCTGACAGCCTGATGCTATTGGCTTCACAAATGGAGAATTTTCCACCAGAACTGGACTTAACATGTTCCCATCCACCCAAATATGCTCCCTGAAGAGTGACTGACAGTTTCCATTCTGTAAAGCAGTATTTATAGACAAATCGTAGTCAAGGGGCTTCAAGAGAATTTCTTTGGAATTTCTGGGAAATTGGCAACCATTATCTTCAAAGTTGCCCATAAAGTTGAAGTTACTGGGATCATTCAGTGAGCTCGTTTCCTGAGATTTCTTGTCGATTACTGCTGACAAATTTTCTTCAGGAAATGGTTGGTTGACAAAGTATAGAGGAGGTGGAACAGATGTTTGTATTTGCTGAGAAGGCATCATACCTTCATTTATTTTAGGAAGCAAATGATTTTCATGAAATACATATGGATCAGCAGCCAGACTGCCCAAATCATTGGAGCATTTCATTTGTTCTTGGATATTAATTTTCATTATCTTCTCATTTGCTCTATCAGGTTTCCAGGATTCCTTTTGAATACTAGCACTATCTTTATATATATTTTGAAAATAAGAGTTAAGATCAGAACAGTTTTTTTCATAATCATTATTTAATTTCGTTTGCTTATAATTAGTCTCACTTTGATTGAATTCTTCATTCTGCAAAGGGAATCCTTTTGGTTGAATAATTGAATTGGTTTTAAAAGCTGAATTATCCAGGTAAGTACTTTTGAAAATATTGTCAGGTAGCTGATTAGAATGGTCTGAAGGAGAAAGCCAAGACTCTACCAATCTAAGATTATCAAATGCACTTTGCAAGTTCTCTATATCAGGTGATGTCTCAAAGTGTCCTTGATTGAAATTCTGTGTTTCAATGAAGTTTGAAAAATCCTCGACAGAATTCCTGAGAGAATATCCTGAATAGTCATCATCATTACCAAAGTTAGGTGTCCATGTGGGAGGAAGGAATCTGGACAAAGAATTCCTATAACAAAGACCACAATTAATAATAATACTCATCATTCTACATAGGCTAAAATATTACAATTATCTGTAAAAATATATCAAAGTCTACATGTTTCTAATCCATATCCCAGAACCAAGCCCTCAGTAAAGTTCTAGAGAAGTCAACATGATTACTTTAAAGAACATGCAGAACATCTCTCTATAATATGTAACAGGGTTTCTGCACAAACTTACCAGTCAGTAACAGGGTCCGGAATATTTGGCTTCTCCAAAATGTTTGAAACCAATCCAAACGTGTCAGGGCCATTTCCGGAGTAACATAAATTGATTTGTGCCCTGTAAAATATATCCACCAAATAATTTTGAGAAATAATTCATAAACAAAATACCTACACCACCATTTATGACCAATTACTTTTACATCAGTATGCACCACATTTTTTTTTTTGGTAAATTACTGTCAAAGTCCAACACTTCAAGGGCATAAATGGCAGGCCAGTAATTAGACAGAGATCAGGATGGTAAAGCCACTAGAGATCATACCACACAAGGCTCAGTTGAAGAAACTTGTGATGTTTTGCCTGAGTAAACAGGAGCACCATCTTTCAACATTTAAAGGAATGTCATTAATGGGTTGATCTATTTGGAAGTAAGTCTCTAATAAAGTACCTCAGGGATCTGTCCTCTCTCCTACACTGTTTAAAGTTTTTATTAATTACTTATAGAAAAACATCAATGCATTCATGTGTTAATTTTGCAGGTTACACAAACCTGGATGGAATAGCTAACATGTTGGACAACAAAGTCAGAAGGCAAGAACAATGAGCCAAAATCAAGAAAGATGCAATTTAATAGAAATAAATGTAAAATCCTATATTTGGGTTAAAAATCAACTTCACCAGTGTAAGAAGGGGAAGGCATATCTAGACAACAGTTTCTGTGAAAAAAAGAGCTGGGGATGTTAGTGTTCTGCAAGTGACACAACAGCCAAAGAAATGGAAGAGAGCTTTCGGTTTAAGAGAAGCTACCATCCCAAACCAGGGAGGCGACAATCCTACAGAGCTCTTCTCAAAGCCTATCAGATCCGCAATACTATGTTCAGTTCTAGATGCTTTATTTTGTGAAAAACACAGTTGGGGGGAGAGGAGAAGGAATAAAAGCTTAAGTGTGTCTAGAAGATAGTACCCAAGATGTTCATAGGTTACAAAGGTCTCAGGACCATGACAGATGAAGGCTGGCTGAAGGCACACGAATGCTGAGACCGGACCGGAGCAGACTTAGGAAGACAACATGAAAGCCAGATGCAAGTTCTTCAAGGGCTGTCATGTAGTAGATTTGTTTTTTTTGTTTTTTGTTAAGGCAGTTGGGGTTAAGTGACTTGCCCAGGGTCACACAGCTAGTAAGTGTCAAGTGTCTGGTCTGAAGCCAGATTTGAACTCAGGTCCTCCTGACTTCAGGGCCAGTGCTCTTTCCACTGCACCACCTAGCTGCCCCAAGATTTGTTTTGTTTTGTTTTTTTACTTGGCCCCTAAAGAACTTGGAACAATGAGTGGAAGCTGCCAGCGGGTAGATTTGAATTTACTGCAACAATAAAAGCTGTCCAACATGGAAATGAACAGGTGCCTAAGCAGGTGGTGGGCTTTCCCTCCCTGGAAGTGTTCAAGCAGAGATTGGGAAACCCAATTAAAAATTCAACGAACATTTATTACATTTCTACTACATCAAAGCACTGAGCTAAGCACCTAAGATTCAAAGAGAAAAAGAAATAGTCTCTCACTTTAAGGAATTTACATTCAAATAGAAGGACATAAAATGTACACAAACGAGTACAACACAAATGAAGGTGTGACAGAGGCAGAGGTAAAAAAGGTATAGACAAGGTACAGCTATAGGTTTGGAATCTCTATGAATGCAGAGAACACTCAGCTATTTGGGGTGTGGGGCAGGGGCTGGTGTACAGACTTAGGGAAGGCCACATACAAAGGGAGATGCTGGCACCACAGGGGAGTCTTGAAGAAAGAAGACTTCTAAGAAGCTGAGATGAGGAGAGAATGCATCCTAGGCATCAAGGATGTTGCAGAGGGACTACTCTTCAGGTACAGGTTATACTAAGTGTGCACTGAAGCCCATTTCCAACTCAGATTCAGTGATACTGAATGCCTCAACTAATAAAAGAACTTTAAAGATTAACCTTTGATAAATTCAGTCAGTTCCAAATTTACTAAATAATATAAATAAAAACAATTTTATAAAATGCTAGTTGGGTTCTCAGACCATACCACACTATTTCAATTATACTTAACTCAGTTGCTGAGTTGCTAGACTTCCTGCAGTTTCTATTAAGAATTCCAGTCCTTTTCAATCATATTACTGCCTTTGTAACCACAACACACAAGAAGGCTGCCTCCTGCTTTCAAAGCTGAGAAGACTGGGAAACACAAGTTAAGCAGCTTCAGGATAAACTGCAAAACAACTACAGCTCCAGACTGACCTGTAAGTTACAAGCAGCTCTTCAACAGAGCAAAAGGATCTTGTATCACTTTTAAAAGTTCTAGTGATTTCTCAAATATCTCAAGTGGTCTAAGCGTGCATTCTCTTTTGCCCAGAAGGCAAGACCCTGCACAGCTTAATGTCTGAAGTTTAAAGGGTGTACAGGGCCTTAGGTTCCAACAGCACCCCCAACCCTCTATCCGAATTCCAACACCTCTGTCCTGTTGGACAACAAAACCCAACAGTATCCAATCATAAAAGGTAGTAGTCATCCTCAAGATTTAATGGGGCTGGGACAAGGAAAAATAAAGAAGCCAATTAATTAGAACACAATCAATTCCACTTGGCCAAATTCTTATTTTGCCAATAACACCCTTTAAAGCAACCGCGGTCTAAAAATAGTCAAGAGGTATGAAAGAGCTGAAGTACTGCAGAACCCCTGCAATTAGATGTAAAATCTTTTGGGCACTGACTCTTTGGTCGTAAGATACAAAATACTTTGAACAAATTCTTCTAAGATCAAATTATAACCTCTTGTTCCATAGGAGTCATGCAAAAAGTTAATTATTGACACAGGATGTAGATTACCTCAATTCTATTGACAGTATAATTCTGAGGCAGTGTAGTACACATATGGTGAAAAGAACAGTCGCTTTGAAGTCCAAAGACCAAGATTCAAACCCCCAATCTGTCACTCACTGAATGTATGGCCCTAGAGAAACATCTTCATCTTTCGGTGTGTTAACTTTTTCTTCTAAAATAAGAAATTCATTGATGATGATGATTTCTAACGTCCCAATCAGCTCTAAACACTCTGATCCTATTTTGTTAGCGCATGAGGAAATACTAAAGGGCTGCTCTCTTAGGTTTCAGGATCCCCAGATGAAGGATGTGCTATAATTCAATTATTATGTTAGCAAGTATTTATTAAGTTCCCATAATGTGCAAGGCATTACAGATACAAAACCAAAACTGTCCCTGCCCTCATGGAGCTTCCACAACATGTGCCGAGAAAAGCAAATACCAAATGATTTAAGGAGGGAGGGAGAAAGTACAAGTTGAGGAATCCCAGAAAGAGAAGGGAGCTGAATGAAAGGAGAGGATTCTAGGAGGTCCTGGGGGGAAGGCGGAAATGGACTCCAGCATGTAGAAATGATGTATGTGAATGCGTGAAGGCAAGAAACAAATGGTGTACTGAGCTTAAGGAACAGCTAGCTGTCCAGTCTGATGGAAACTCAGAGTATGTGAAGGGGAATAATAGGAGTTTTAAGGCTGGATAAGTGGGTTAATTAGACTGTGCAGGGCCTTAAATGACAGGTCAAGACATTTCTATTTTGTTCTAACAGTAGGAAGTCATTAAGTTTTTACTATTTTGGCATCTATATGAAGGATGGATTGGAAAGGAGAAAGACTGGAAACAGGGAAACTAATTTGGAGACTTCTATAACAGACTAGGGAAAAGGTGACTAGGGTCTGAGCTACATAGGGGGTCATTTGAGGTAAGATGATGTTATAGAAACAGAATCTACAAGCCTGGCAAATAATGAGATATGGGGGGTAAGAATGACTCCTAAGTTATGAACTTAATAATCAAGAGGACAGTTGTATAAACAACATATTTACTTGATACCTTTCATTGGCATAGTCTTGAAAGGCAGTGGGTGGGCTAGTGTCATCTCCATAAACTGACCAGTTACTATATAAACCAGAAGATTCCAGAGATGGTGTATTAGTAATCTCACCCAGCAAAGGACTGAATAACTGGGTGTCCATTCCTTGTTGCTTACAGTTTACCTGAAAGAAAACAAAAAGATAATTTAAGCAGATTAAAAAATCATATTTGGTAAAAAGGCACAGAAAACTTTAGTTTTAGTTTAGATGACTGAGGAAAGTACTTTATAGCAATTGACATTTTTCTTAAAAAAAAAAACAAAACAAAAAACAACTTTCCTAAATTATAACACCTTATTTATCCAAAACATTCACCTTACAACCTCAATTACCTAGCATATGGCCAAAACCCCGGAAGAACAAAAAAGGCCTAGGTACACAGTCCAGGGTCCACGTCCTGATGTCTATACCTTCACAAGTGATCCTCTCTAGACCTCTCTCAGAACCTGTTAGGCTCACAGAATATGAAGAGTTGAAAAGTAGCTGAGAGGTTGAGTTAAACCTCCCAACCCATCTCCGACATCTCTGAGAGAAGTTATAGTCTCTACTCAAATGATTCCAAAGAACCCATTACTTCATTTTCTACATCTGGACAGCTCCAATTATTACTAAATTTTTCCTTATTTTGAGTCAAAACCTAATTCCTATTTCTTTTCTCTGCGAGCAGTACAAAATAAAGTCAGAATTTCAGAGCTGGAAATTCCCATGATAACACATCCAACAAGTGAAAGTCCAATCTTTACTTGAAAATCTCCAATCCTCTAGCTCTCCCTTCCCTCCCTCTCTCATTGTACTTTTAGATAGCTCTAATTGTTAGGAAGATTTTCCTAATATCAAGCCTAAATTTTCTCCTTTGTAAGTTTCTCCCATTGCTCCCAGCTTTGGCTTCTGGGCCTTTTCAACACAACAGCCCTCCAAATATTTCACCATTGCTAACGTGTATTCCCTGTCTCTTCTCCAGGCTAAATAGCACCTAGTTCCTTCAACCAGTCTCATATGACTAAACACGTGCCTTCCTCAATGAACCTCTGCAACTAATGATACTCTGCCTGGATTCATTCTTCAATGGTTAACACATTCTGCCTAGCCCCTTCTACTCTCCTCAGCCCAGTAATTATGAAGTGTTGGCTGCCAAAAATTCAAATCCTGTTGCCTGCTCCCAACTGCCCATTCCTTTATTCCCACTTTCCTAAACCCAACCCCACATTCAATGTCATACTCCAAATCTGCCTGCCTCTTCCACTGTGCCCTCTAGAATGCCCACCCCACAAGCATTCTACCCTTTGACATTCACTGACCCGGCTCTGTCTTGATATACACTCAGTCCAATTAACCTGCTCCCCTTTCTAGTACTAGCTATACTTTTTCTCAGAATCCCCAGCTCTGTGTGGAAGAGTTGGAATGCTCTTTGTTCCCCACTGCCACTTCCAGACTCTCCATTTACCACCACCACTCAGCAGCCTGTCCTCCCTTTGAAGTTCACACTATCCAAACTGCTCCCCCAATCCAGATCCTGGCTACTAGATATTCTTGGAACAGGTCGGTGCTAGGCTCCAGTCTCTCTCTCTCCTCTCCCCAACTCCTGCCTGCATACTAGGGGGCTCCCAACATATTGATGGTCCCTCTAATGCCCTAACTTCCAGCTCCTCAATCTACTCAATTTCCACAACCTGCTCCTTCACCCTACCTCAGCCACACAAGAGGTCATATCCTTGATCTCAACATTATCCATGAGGATCCTACTGCCTGATTCACAAACTCTGAAATTCCTTTATCTGACCCTAACCTTTTGTCATCCCTTTGGCCATGCCTTAGGCCTCCTAACCCTGTTCTCTTTAACTTCAGGGCCCTCCATTCCCTCCACCCAGAATATTAACTGCACTGGGTACCCTCTCCTCTCTTCCCTATTTAGTCAACAACTCATTTCTACACTATCCTCTCCTCAAGTCCCTTGCCCCTTTTTCCTTTTGTTGATCATGCTACCAAATCCCAATCCTGGATTATGTCTACCATCTGCCTCCTCCATTCTTATTATGTTATTTCTGTTAAATGTTCCAAGGAATCTTGAAGTACCTTGATGTATGCATAACAGATATCTTACTGTAAAAGAGCCTTGAAGGTGGTGTTTTATTTTACAGAATCAAATGCTTTTTCATAATCAACAATAGCTCAATGAGATATTACTAGATTCTCTATACCTTTCAAGTAATTGTAAGATGGAAAAGATGTGGTTCCAGAAAACATCTTAGTCAGTAAACACCTAATTTACTTGCCAAAGGGAGAGAAGTAGCTGCCTAACTCAAGACTGGGCTAGACTCTTTTTATGATGGCAAAGAATTGGACATTGAGGGGATGTCCATCAACTGGGGAATGACTGAACAAGTTATGGTATATGATTTGATGGAATACTGTTGTGCTATAAAAAATGATGAGCAATATGCTCTCAGAAAAACCTGGAAAGACTTACATTAAACTGATGCAAAGTGAGCAGAACCAGGAGAATATTGTATATAATAACAGCAATACTGTGTGATGATCAACTGTGAATGACTTGGCCAGCAATATAATGACTTAAGACAATTCTCGAGAACTTATGAAAAAATGCTATTCGCTTTATTTTTCTTGGGGTTTTTTTTTGGGGGGGGGTCTGTTTTCTTTCACAACATGACTAATGATAATGTTTTGTATGATTGCACATATATAGCCTATATCAAACTGCCTGCATAGGGAGGAAAAGGAAGGAGAGAATTTAGAACTCAAAATTGATTTTAAAATGAATGTTGAAAACTGTTTTATATGTAATTGGAAAAAATATTTTTAAAAAAAGACTGGGCTACTTCTCAGCAATGCAAGGATCTAAGACATCTCCAAAGGTCTCATGATGGAAAATGCTAACCACATCCAAAGAAAGAACTACAGAGTGTGAATGCAGATCGAAGCATAATATTTGCTATTTTTTTCTTCTGTTTTATTTTCTTTTCTCTTTCTTGTGGTTCCTCCTATTGGTTCTAATTCTTCCTCACAACTTCACTAATGTGAAAATATGTTTAATAGGAATGTATATGTATAGCCTATATCAGATTGCATGCCATCTTGGGGAAGGAGGGGGAGAAAAATTTAAAACTCAAATGCTTATGGAAGTGACTGTTGATAAATTAAAATAAAATAATTTTTTTTTAAAAAAAGACTGGGCTAGAATATAAACTTGTCTGTAAAATCTTACCCCAAAAAGACAGACAGTTATGAATAGGACTATCTCTTCAAAAGGAGAAAAGCTATGGTAGATACAACTAATTTTTTAAAAGCTTGGCAAGACTGAGCAAAGCCACCTCAAGTGCATTTAAGGATGAAAATGAAAGTACTACAAACTTAAGAAAAATGAAAAAGATTTGGAAAAAAGTTTTTCAAGAAATTTTTTTTGTTAAGAATAGTGGAACTACTCTCCTTAGACTATAACATCACAGTCCCCAAGGTGATTAGAGAGAAAGAAAAAATGCCACTAAAGGGAGCCTCTATGGGTTGGAACAAGTGTATGTACAGTAGAGAGCCATATTAGAGGAGCTATACTTCTGAAGGCATTGAAGGGCTCATAGGTAACTTATCTGAGAAATATCTGGGAATCTGGGGAAAAAAAAATCTGGGAAAATAGCAAAGTTACAGGAAAAAACCTCTCACTTTATTAATACTGAAAAAAACAGCCATGAAAGCTCAGTAATTATTGACCTATATACCTACTACACTATCTATACAAAATCTGGCTAAGAGTCACCTTATATAGGAATCAAGGGCATTCTCAATGAGAAAGGAACAAGTAGGCTTTTACAAATAGTATTTGACAATGGAGCACATTTTTGAAATCTGCTCTCCCAACATCTAAGTTGGAAAGCTTATGCCCAGCTTTCCCCTCCTCTATCACAAACTCTAGGAAGGAGTAATTTCCCCCAAAAGGTTCCTATCATTTCTACAGCAGTTACCAGTTCATCCTTGTCAGTAAGAATCAGACCCAGAGCAGAATTCAAAAGGTAGAGAAATCACCATGAAGACAAGTTAAAAAGTTATCAGCTACTCTGCTTCTGAGAAGGAGGGCTCCTAGTAGACATGAGGATAGAGTCCCCCATCACCACTCTATCATGCTTTTGTGCTGGGCTTATGTTTCCCAAACTCTTCACATATATCTTTTTTTGTCTAAGCAGCCTGTAATATACATCAATGAAAAAAATATTGTTTCACCTTCCACTGATCTTTACTCAAACACTTGTTTCCACAGCCTTTTAGCACCTGGATATCTTCATGAGTATACTTTCTTAAAATATAATCCCTATCTCCATCCCCTTTAATATATTCTGTTTATTCTGAATAAAGTATACCCATGTGGGCTATAGTTTAGTCAACTCTCATCCTGTCAAGCTTCAATAATTATCTATGAGGTAAAATTTGATTCCTTGAATTAGGACCTCAATTCATCATGTTTGTTTCATCAACTCTGGGCATGTGTATGCCAGGATTTGAGGACCCGGGTTGTGCCTCTCTTTCCCTTCTAGGATTTTGCCTCCTGTAAAATTAAGCTTTAACAACTATTCTTCCTTTACTGTAGCTACTCTGTATGGTATCTGCCTTAGTGGATAGAGAGAGGTGGTTTTCTCCCTCCCATATCACACAGAAAAATTTTAATCTCCTGCTTTTATGCCATCTCATTTCCCAATATGTTCCATCAGAGAACCATACCTTAAAAAAAGAGTTCAACAAAACTAACCAACAAATCATTTAAGACCAATATCACATGTAGTGTTCCCCACCCACTGATTGTCATCTATCTCCTCAAAGAAGGGTGCCAAGAGTCTCACATCTCTTCTCGGAGGCCATGCTTGGTCAGTATGATTTTTACAGCTTTCACTTTCCACTCATTTGTTGTTGCTCCTTCCATTCCCATTATTTAAACTGTTTCCTGGTTCTCGTCACTTCATTTTTTATCAGTCTGCAAAGTCTTCCATGCTTCTTTTCATTTTTTGTTGCTTATTGTGCAATAATATTTCATTACATTCATAGTTAATTTAGCCATTCCGTGCCACTACAAAAATTGTGCTATAAATATTTTAGTCCTTTTTATTTGATTTGTAAGATAC